ATTGTTGCGGGTTGTGTGGTTACTCCATTTTGCAGATATGAAAACCGAGGCCCCGGGCATTAGGACACTTGCCAAGGGCTAAGCCCACACCAGGGAGCAGAGTGGGTGAGGGCTCTGCACTAGGGCGGCCTGACTTTGACGCCCGTGCTATCTGGGCAGGCAGATTCTTCTCAGGGCTGAAGTCTTACAATAGGCTTGAAGGCAAACTCCCGACGGGCCTCCAAGTCTTGCTAGTTACACTGCAGTGAGTCTGCTCATCAGCTCCTTTTAGGAAAAGCAAGTTTGGATGAATGGAAGGTGGAGAGTGTAGGCATGGGGAGCTCCTGGGGGTCCCAGGACCCCCTGTGCAGAAGGAGGGAAGGGGGGCAGGGGACAAACCTCCCACCGTCTGGAGGTGCACACCAGTGGCTTTTGGGGCATTGAGGCAGAGGCTGCACCCTAAAGGCAGCTCCTCCAAACCATGTGTTGTTAAGATGGAAAGAGATGTCCTGGGGTGCAAGTCACATCACAGTGGACGACTTGACACGATTCCTTCTGACAGAAGATAAATAATAAGTTAGGGGAAGACACGGAGTCACAGTGGCCAGTGCAGACTTAGTTTTTAGCATCTGACGCAGGACCTTGGGTGCCCACAGCTAAGCTGGGTGGCCAATGGAGTAAACCTCATTGGAAACATGCCTGGAAAGACTTGGGTGAGCCCACGTGGGGACTGCACCAAGAAGGCAGAGCCCCTCGGGAACAATCCTTACACCCCAGCTAGCAGACCCTTAAAATGAGCAGTGGCTCCAGGGCTGCTGTGCCACTGCATGGAGACAGTGCCCCGAGGGTGGCTGCGGAGACCCTGCCCTGCAGGAGGTACCCGGACACAACTCCAAGCTGATGCGCAACTGACAGGACCAGTGCTTTGGGGCTGGCCCTGGGCCACCCCTTTCCTGGCCCGCTTCCGCATGGCTGGCCAACTGCCTTTCCAACCTCTCCATGTGACTAACAGGTGGCAGGTCGTGCAATGACTGAGTGGCTCGGGAATGGAATACTGGCTACTCTAGTCATTCGAAATTCCCCCAATCCTGCGGCTCTTATCTGGTCCTGCCACTCACCCAGCTTCACAACTTGCCCCCTTTCAACCAGAACACTCTTGAAGAGTCAGGGCACAAGCAGGAACAAGAAAGCAGCGGAAGGAGTGAGGTCTTAATGCCCACTTGGTGCTAGAGGTAGGGCCTCCTACCATGGGAGTGGCTGTCCCATCCATGCGGAAACCATCCCTGGTCGCAGCTCTAGGCCTGGACCATGCCACCTAACTTCCCTGTTGCCCGAAGCTGAAGAGCACAAGCTCCGAGAGAGTATTATACACACATATACCCACATCCATTTGTGCATATGCATACATGTATGTTCATGTGCATAAAATGGATAAATGGATGGACACACACATGCACACATGGATGTGCTAGAGCTGGACCACGAGTGGCCCCCAGTGAGGCTAAAAGAGACTGGGAGCAAAGACTCAGAGTTGGAGCTGAGTGTGACGATGTGTGCTAAATTGGCCATCTCCACAAACCACACCAAGGAGTCACAAACATAGGCTTCTCTGCTTTTTCATCTTGTTTCTGAACAAAACACCAATGGTGGCATTTGTGTTTAAAGGAGCTGACGATCGCTGTGTTTTTCCACCTAAGAAAGTCTACTCATTACAGGCAGGGCCCCTGCCCGGGCTCAGCATCCAGCCTCCTGCCAGGATTTCTCTGGGAGGCCTGAGCTTCCTGGCAAAGTGCAGGGTCTACCCCCTCTCTTGAAACACCTGCCTGGGTGATTTGTTCAAATGGCTGCCTCACCACCTCAAGGGCAACAAGGATTTCCTAGGAATCTATGAGTGAGCCACAGAAGCTGGCAGCACCAGAGTGCAACTGTTGCTAAGTCCGGGCCTGAAGTTCCCTCATCCACGGGCACGTGCAAGCTGCCACCTGAAGAGCTGGGTGACTTTGCTGCCCCAAGTCCCACTAACATCTTCGCCTCCCAGGATCAGCTCAGAGTAAGAAAACTGTACCAACCAACATGTACTGAATGCTCAGCACATAGAAGACACTCTACCAGAAGCTTTTATATGCATTACCTCGCTTGGTCATCCCAGCAGCTGCCAGAGGCAGGACACAAGACACCCTAAAAGGAAGTAACATGCCAGGCCTGCCCCCATCCCCAGGTCCCAGGGCTAGCAGGAGGGCAGGCTGTCACTGGAACCTGTGTGTGTTCTGAACCTGCATGCCCAGCCACCATGGGCAGCCTCCCCTGGTCTCTGCAAAATGATTAATAAAATCAGAGTACCCGGACATTTAAAATACCCTCTTCATGTCCGCCGCCCCGCTGACGGCCGGCAGCCTGCCCACATCCACCTGAGCAGTGAGTGTGGCCCCTCCTTCTGATCCACTGGCTGTGACTACGCCGTCTACAGATTCCTGAGAGGTCCCAGTCCTCCTTCACCCGTCAGTTCCTCAAATACATGCCTTCCGGAATCATGTTCCCACGAGGCTTCCTCTTCTGCCCAGCATGCCCAGGACCAGCGCTAAAGCTTCATTTAAATAACAAATTCACCCACAGTACATTTAAATACAACTCTGAGCTCCTCAAACTCAATGCATATGCAGAATGTTAGGAAAACACTGTATAAGATGCTGCTGGTTACATCAGCAGGATAAGCCCCAATGAGGTTATTGATTCCACTCTATACCGACCTGAAATTGACATTTAAATACAACTGAGCCAAATTCTTGGGCCAGGTAATAAGCTGTAGCCCATTAAACATGTTCATTTGACCAGTCAATAATGTAAACATGGCCCAAGAGATGCCACAAACAGCCTCTCACCAGAGCCATGGCTGGGGCCGACACCTTTCCATCTGGGCACTCAGGAACTCACTCCCTCAAAGCAACCACATTGATTCCCTGGTGTCTGTGGCCAGTGCTATTTTTAGCTCTGAGCTCAAGTCATAGGTACTCTCTTTGGATTGGTTTTTAAAAATTCTTTCACTCCAACATGTATGTATGAACCACCAACAAATATAATAAGCAATGATTCACAGGAAATTAATTCTCTCATTTTTTAATGGGGGTTTACTATAGCATAACCCTGTGTGTTGGGAACCTCGGGTTTATTTTTAATGCGTCACCCCATGTCTCAAAAACAAAAAATTACATACATCTTCTGGTGAGCCTATTCTAAAATCTATGGGAAGTCACCTATCAATTGCCAGTTTGTGTGGAAAGACTGGGTGGTTTTTCTAGGCTGGTGAAATATAATTGCTAACTGTTTACACAAATAACACACAGAGCTAACGAAACAGAAGCAGAAGCTGGCTTTTTTCCAATGACTAGCCTGAACAGCCTCATATCCAAAAGCATTAAGAAAGTAAACTTTAAAATGATTTGAGGAAAAGGTCTATTTTCGTGACAGATGGCAATGAGGGTTCTTCAATGCCAATTTCATCACTTACCCTCAATTTTCAAATGCTTAAGTTGTGGCAAGTGTTGATGCCAACCGTCAGCACACCAGCACTGATGTGCCCTGACTTCATGGGGCAAAGAGGGTAGCCAGCGTTTGCTGGGGTCCTGCCGACCTTCAACCACTGTGCCAGGCCCTTCTGCCCCAGAGGAAAGTTGTGCTGTTCACAGATACCTGCCTTCCAACACTGCAAAAATTCTGTTCAGTATCACTTTTATGTCACAAACACAGAGAGTGTCCTCAATTAGGAGCCTAACTTACATGATCAATTTCCGGTTTGATAGCCTTGGCCAGCAGACCCTGTCCATGAAGGACTAATGGGCAGAACAGTCTTCAGGTTCTAAAAACAAATTCAGCACCATCTTTCACCATACAAGTAAATGTAGAGAGAGGCCCAGGAGGGGACACACTGCCATGCCTGTTAGCAGTGCCATGAGGGCAAGAACTTGCACCCCAACTCCAGACCCCAGTGCCCTTCAGGGCCTTCTGGACCCCAATCTTTCCAAGGAATATTTTGAGCACCATCGCACCTCATAATGCTGCTTTATACCTGGGCTTTATATATAATTTCAAAGAACACACCTAATAGCTGGGCTTGAAAACTGTCCATCCGATGAGGGAACGTCTACAGGCGAGTCAGGCATGAAAGTCTTGGTCTCCGGGGTGTCTGCGCCAAGCAGAAAACTCCTTCAGTGCCACAATCCTTCTTGCCTTCTGGGAATTAATATGGGAGTTTCACAGACAACTTCACATTTTTGGTAAAGGATGTCAGGCATAAGACTGATGGTATTGGCAACCACAGGCACATTCTTACTAAGAAGTTCAAATCGTGTACACATCAGCCATGTAGGGAAGCTACAGGCCCTCAACACCAGTACATGTTGCCAACCTCACGGTCAGATCAAAGCTGCCACTGGCATCGATGGAGCAGGCGGACCTGACCCACCCAGCTCTCTACAGCCAGGGGTCCTCAGTAAAGAAGCAAGCAATGTATCTGCTGATCTGTGTCTTTGCCAAGGAGAAACACTGACAACATTCTTAAAACTACCTATAGGCAGGAAGCAATGCTTGCCAAAATGGTTAGGTGAATAATTTATGTAGTGTTTTTCAAAATAAGTGATGTACTTAATAGTTAGGACATCAGAGACAATGTAAAACTTTGTAGGTGAGGAAGACAGGCAATGTGTGACCTGGAAACTGGTGGCCTTCAGAAGACAGATCCCATCCCCACCCCAGGTCCCCATCCCAAGCCTTTACTTCCCCTAAAACGCAAGTGTTTCTCTTTTGTGTGTCCCTGCTGCCACCAGGCCCTCTCCAGGGAGCACCGCGTGGCCTGGTGCGGGAGCTGACTAGAGGCCTTTTATGCATCTGCGAGTTTCCAGGGCCAGCCTGACACACAGCACGGGCCAGTTCAAACACTGCCCAGGAGGTAGGTAGGAGGGGCTGCATAGGAAGGGCTTGATGCAAAGGGCCTGGCCCACTCTGAAGGAAAGGAACAGACAAAAACATTAATCATGTTTTCCTTTTAATAAGGCTTTTTACTCAAAAGTGTAGCTTTGAAAATCTCTAGCTTGTTGTGAAAACCAGAAGAGCCAGGGAGCCGCCTCACTCTGACACCACTACGGGAAGCTGTGGCCACCGTGTTTGTAATCTCTCCATCACCAACGCTGGAAATCAAATGCACCACTTTAAAATCAGAGTCAACATTTAAAACTAGGAGGATGATGCATGTCCTATTTTGATTTGAGGAGAAAGGACAAGTTCTTAATACAGTGAAACAAAACACACAAAGTAAACAAATCTTTAGAAATCACTAGATCTGTGTATGTGTGTATTTATATAATTAGGATTATCATCAACATTTAAAACTATGAAAAATAAGGTTGCCACCTTACCTGTTCTTTTGGTACTGGGGTGTTTTTTTTTTTTAAGGGGGAAAAAAAGATTTTGCCAGACTCTCAAGTTTCCTAACCTGCAGCCTGATCTCCGCCGTGCCACTGCCCCACCTCCACACTGGCGCCCAGCGCACCACCGTCAAGTCCTGTTGGCAGGAGGCAGAGCCGGCTCTAATTCTGCTTGTCAAGATGACAGGCCCACAAAAGCACAGCCGTGAGAGGGACTGAATTCTTCCCCAGGAAGAAAATACAAGTGCCCACGACGGGTCTGCAGAATCTTCCAAGGCGCCTCTTCGCCTTTGTTGCCGTGGTTTGAGAGCTTGTCTGTTTTGCCCGGGAACAAGATGGCAATCTCAATCCAAAGGGAAGCTAGATTTTTAAATAACTTAAAAAATCATTTTCATATAAAGCAGCAAAAACATATTTTCCTCTCTGTGGAAAGAAAAATGTGAACAAGGAAACACAGCAATGTAAATGGACTGTTCACAAACGTTTACTAAACTGAATTCCCCAGCAGCCGGCGCCCCTCAGAGCTACCCTTTAACGTCCCCAGTGCTGTCTGAAGAAGATCCTTTGGCGTCTTCAGTTGCTCTTTTACTTTCCTCTTGATTTACATTTTCCTTTCCTGACCTGGCCCCGTTGGGGATAGAGTTTTCACCATTTACGAGCCCATTTTCCACGGCCTTTGCCCTGCTGACAGCCTCCGAGAGGCTGAGGGCCTCCTGCCCGCCGGCCTCCTCCTCCAGGTTCCTCAGCACCAGGGGCAGCCGTGCCCCGGCCGCACCCATTTCCAGCGGTCCGGGGCTACTCTCCTCGTACTTGGGGAGCAGGGCCTTCGCCTCCATCTGTCTGCGGTAGTATTCCCGGTTCACGGCTGCACTCTTCACTGCTTTTTCCAAAATCTCTTTCTCACCTAAGCGCAACTTGACAGCCATGGTGGCCCGAACAGAAAGGTCACGGTTTTTCAAGAAGGACTTGTCTTCCTGAAAAATGAAATACAGCAAAACTAATTAGAAGACGCCTAAATCAGCAAAAACACAGTGACAGAAGGCAGATCAGTTGGTACCGATAATGGGGACATAAAGGAAATCTGGGGGGGGTGACAGAAGGCTCTAGAACTTGACTGTTGAGGTGGTTGCAGGACTATATATGTCTATAAAAATGTTCACTTTAGAAGTGTACTTGATGAAACCATCATGACACAAGATAAGTCTAAACCAAACAATGCTCTGACACCTGTGACAGAGGACTCCGCTTACTCTCAGGACTGTCCTGTCGGGTACAGCGATGGAGCCCCGGGGCTCAATGCCGGCCTGAATGAGTGAATGAAGGAGGGCCTGAAGTTACTGGTTTGATGGTAAACTTTAAAAGCACAAGTGTCTCAATGTGATCCTTGGTAAGTGCAAACATGCTGAGTGGAGAGATATTAATAAGTTGAATGGAAAATGTCAAATACCCAATGGTTTGCTGAAGAATTATAGTAATTTACATTTAGGGAGGAAATCTCTTACTAAAAGTCTTTAAAACATGACAAAGCTCATTCAAGCCATCTAATTACCTCAATAGTTGTTTTGTATGTTTTTAGAAGAAGCAAGGCTCGATCTTCAAGAAATGTCCAAAGTCTGACTTCATTGTCCCAGCTGACAGGGTATTCAGAGTTGCCCAAGGTGAAGATTCTGTCGATAGCATTATCTCCTAGCAAATGCTCCTTCAGTTCTTCTACAAGAAATGCAAATGGCCGTCTGTTAGGGGGGCAGCATTACTTCTCATTTTAACAAGAAATCCACCTTAGAAAATACAATCTCTAACATCATCTTCTTGTGGGTAAAAGCTCTCTCCCTATTCAATCAACCAGGCCATTTCTTGACCCTCCAGAGGAGAGCCAGAGATAAGTTTCAAGAAGGAAAAAGAGGCGACATCTTCGTGATTTGGAATCCAGATCAAGCCCTGGCAGAGCACACACTCCCTTTTTCCCTGTTCCTATGTGGGACCCTGAGAGCCTTTAGACTGGCTCACAACACACCTTTAAAGGACCATCTACAGTGACATACCTCCGTCTAACAATAGCCTTCTTGCAAGCATACACTCAGTCACAACTGGGTCAAAAGACATTTAGGTGAGCAATGTAAACAGTAAGAGCGAACAGCACAACGATCTGACAATCCTTCTCAATTTAAATCAGATCGGTGCTTATTCCAGTAGTTGACCTGACAGAGCTATTTATCTCATCTTATAACAAGTAAGCCACAAACTGAAAGAAACAAGAAAATGGACTATGAAAATCTTAGTTAATGAAAAATGTGTTTTATCCCTCACTGGTCTGGAATTTAAGTAGGAATTTACAAATAAACACAACTGAACATCTCAATTACCTTCAAATATATTTAAGAAGAGGCAAGAATTCAGCTACTGCTCTGAGCATTCTATCTCCTGGCACATTATCTTCAAGAGACCAAAACATGCCGATCCTTTTCATGTTCAAGAAATATACCCATGCTTCTTATGTAATTATAAGACAGTATCTCTTTCAGAGCGAAATGCCCCACAGCTGTCACTATTTACAATGCAAATGGAAGAACTTCTGCTGCCAGCAAACCAAACTTTTATTAGTATTAGTTAGAGTAATTCAAAGGACACATTGATTGTCTTGACATGCCAAATTGTCTTTCTATGACTAAAGAGAAACTAAAGAGAATCAACGGACCTAAAATGATTCCAGCAGGTTTTCTTTAAAAAAAAAAAAAAGTTAATCTAATGTTCAAAATAGAAATGTATTAAGCTGCATTTGTTAGCAAAAGATCATGGCACAATTCAGAATTTTCAGGTTTTGGTCCCTCAGTTCATATTCTTTCTATAAAGTAATGAAGATTTAAAAACTTTCCACAGTGGCAGAACTTCTTTTCAGGAGACCCCAATATTAAGGTTACTATTCTTTTTTTCTTCCTCAACACACTCAACCTTTGCCTCCAGCGCAGGCAAAGGGGAGGCAGAAGCAGCACCTTTTCTCCGGACTCACTGCAGAAAGGGAGAATTAGAACCAACGAGAGGGGCCTGAAATAGTGTCGCCAGGAGACCCGCCTTGGGACACTGGGGAAGCGACCCAAAGGCTTCAGGAGTGGGTCTCCCTCCCTGCTTTCCTCTAGCTAACAAACCCTTGCCCGAGTCCCCGCACTTCGGCGTCGGCCCGACTCTCTGAGGGGCGTCTCGCCTTCTCCTGGCCTCCGTGGGAATGTGTGCCTGTTCACCCCAGAGGCGGGCCGGAGACCTCGCTCGTAGGCCTGGCCCCAGGTCGATCACTGGTTCCTCCTGACCCCTAGGGTGCCAGGATCTGTTCCACGGATTTAGTCATTTGTGAAGCTGCACAGTGGCTGCCTGGGGCGTGGGCTCTGGGTTCCGAGTCAGGCTCACCCCTGCTAACTGAGTGGCCAGATCACAGATCACTCATTCTTGGACTGGAGTTTCATTTAGCATGGTACCTGGCACACAGTGGGTGCTCACAAATTACAGGCACTGTCATCACCACCCTTTCTCTTAATTATAAATCCCTTCAGGGTATGATCTGTGACCTTCGGTTTTGTAACCCAGTATTACAGTGTATGAAAAGCCCAGAGCCAACCCTTACCTGGTGTTCACTAAGTTGGATTGATGAACACTAAATACACAATTGCCAAAAGCTCTCACTTGAGTGATGCTGAGTCTACAGCAAAAATGGCTTTAGCAATACACATTATTTAACTCTTTCTGTGCCTGATTAGAGGCTACAGACAAGAACATTATACTCTTTAAATGGATTCTGTTTGCAGTGTTATCTACTCTGACTGTATGCTAAAAGGCCTGCTGGCAACTGCAGATTCAGAATACAGAGCTGGTTAACAAATGAAGTCCTGTGGCCCACGTGGGCCATTGCTGACCACATGGCTTCACAGTGTCAGGGATCACTGCCTCTAGGCGAATTAGACAGAAGTATACTGTGGGGAAAATAAGGCTCTGTCACTCTTGGCTAATAAGCACATCAAACACACCCATCTACAAATACATAATTTTGATACATTTAAGACAATCCAAGGTGTTTTAAATTTTCTTCCACTGCAGTAGAGAATTGTTTTATTATAAGAGAATACTGACAACACATCAAGGATTTAATAAAACATTTAATCCACTTCCTTCTCCAATACTGGCATCTTACCTCCCCCCAGAAAGGGCTTTAGTTTTAAGCAATTTTATCCTTAACCTGAAACCCTAATGCTTTATTTATACTTTATGAATCTTTAAAAAGTCAACATTTTTTTTAAATGATTTACCTTCCGTCATGCAGAATACTCGGAGAAAAGCCAGGAGCTGGGCAGAGATGGGTGGCTCCGTGAAATGCAGCGCAAACACGCTGGAACTGACAAGAGCAGGAAGCCAGATCAATCACGCTGTGTGGGCACCCGCTTGCTCCCAAGTGAAATCCCTAAACCCACGATCCACGTGCTCGTCCACTGGGCCGGGCACGAGTTACTCCAGTGCCTCATCTGAACCATGAAAGCAGAGTCTTCAGCCCGTGCCAAACGCAGAGGGCAGGCATGGGCTGGCCGCTGAGGCCCGCGGCAGGCACCTCTGCAGGCAGCTCTCACGGCCTAACAGCCTCATATTCGGGTGCACACAACACACTGAGAGAATCAAGCACACCCACGGTGCTGAGACAATGTCAACAATAACTTAGGTTTAGTTCACATTTTTATCATTAATTAAATATTGCCAAGTTCAATAAAAAAGTCTGGATAATCCATTTTCACTAAACTTGGTTCCTCCATTCTCTGGAGAACTAATACATCATAATTCTTATCTTTTTTATCATTTTGTACCTCAAATGCAAGAAAATCTTTAAGAATTTAACCAGGAATTCTTGAAATCACTGAGGGACATGACTTCATTACAGAAACTAATGGTGGCTAAGAACTAAATTGAAACAAACTGATCCAGGTCAGTCACCCTTTCAAGGTGGAGAAAATGAATGCTACCAAAGTAATTAATTACTTAATTTTATGAGGATTTGTGGCGATATTCTCTAGAACTGGTTGTGAATGCTCCCAATGACATATTATGTTTATATGAAAATGATGGTAAATCACCATGCATCTCAATGCTTCAAATATGTAATAGGGACAAGGGGACGAAGACAAACTACTGCAAAGATATTTTATTAACACACCAATTAGAAACTATGCAACTGGAAATATTTCAGGTACCACAGGAAAAAGCTGACCGATTTTGTCTACGTACGTGGGGATGCCAGCGCGAGCCAAGACCTCAGCCTTCATGGCATAGAGTCTGTCACTTTTACTCACTCCAAGCTTTATTTTCACTCTGTCGTGTGAATTATTGTCAAAGAAAAAACCACTGTGGATCACAAACTCTGCATTTGACCGAGTGCCATAAAAAATGTAAATCTGAGATGCAGTAAAGAAAAAATAAAGGGATATAAAAGAAACTTAACATCCATTCTCAATACAGAGCCGGGCAAAGGATCAGTTCTCAAATAGTGCAACCTCACACTAACCAGACCACATACACCTATTCTGAGTATCTCCTGTAGGCAGGGTGAACTCACCAATACCTGCAGCTGCCCAACTTCCCAAGCTGTCTGATGGAAAGGAGCCCCCACCCAGCCACCGGTGGCACAGGCCTGACTAGCACACAGAGGAAGGAGCAGCCCAGGGCCCAGAGGGTACCCAGCCTGCCTCACAATCCCCTTCTCCTTCTGAGGGACACCAAAACCATTACTTTACGACTATACTTCACAATTCACCACCGTCTTCCTCTCCTTTTAATACAACAGAGTCTCTTCTGCAGCAGAAGTTAAAGCAAGGTCTGTCTCATTTCTAGACCCTGTGGCCATTCTGCCCCTGGCAGGAGGGTCACTACCAACTTTCTGCAGAAGGAACAGATCAATACTTTGTCAGACTACTGTTTTTCATTCTGTCCCAATTGCAACACCAATGGTTTATGTGACTCCTCTGTCTTGTATTATCTGCTTGGCCATAAGGCTGATAGGTAGAATGCAGGTATTTGTAGATGTGTATTTTCAAACTTACTGAAAGGTTTAACCCTGCCCAAATTATTAGATAAAAATTCACAAATTAAACTCAAAGTACAAGAAGACAGATCTCTGGGTCCCAATGCCCTTATGTTCTTGCCACTTAAATAAATTGCCTCTTTATAAAGAAGGTTCTAATCAACAGAACAGGAAATGAAAACAGTGCAGTTTATGCAATTGAAAAATTTGTTCTGTTGTCACAACAAAATATTTTCAGTTGACAGCATTATAAATATTAGGCCAATTGTACAAATAACTGCATTTAAATCTTTTTTTTCTTTGCTGACCAAAGTTCCAGTTTGAGGCAAAATATGTTTATTACAACTTTAGGCCCCAAAATGTGTTTCCAAAACAATCCTAAAATATAAATCCCCAACTTTTCTGCCCAACTTAAATACCTTGTTAATGGTATCAACATGACATGAATTCAGTGCCCCCTGGGTAGCCTGTAAGATACCACATGAGATGAAACCAACCTGCTCTCCAGCCCGGAAATCCTGCAGCGCCACGCACTCGCAGCGGTCATCCTCCAGGTTGTAGCCAGTGGTGATCTAGGCAGGGAGAGAGGATGGAATGATAACAAATCAAAGAGATCGACACACAGGAGGCTTTTTTGATGATGAGAGCATAAAAGATATCCAAAGGTACTGGAGAGGGTATACCAACGTGCTTTATAAAACTGACAAAGAACAGCTTGGTTATTTTAATTGATTCTGTTGACACCAGGAATTCCTATGGGAGATTCCATACCTGAAGTAAAGGATGAACTCTTAGGAAAATATATTGCATAGACAATCATTTGCTGGTCTCAACCAAACAATCATTTATTACAAAGTTACTGCCTTTGAGCCCACAGACTGAAGGAGTATCTCCACCTCTAGAAAAACTCTAATTGACTGGCAAACATCATCTTTCCTTCGTATTTGGCACTAAGAAACAGAAGTGGGTCTTCTATTGGACAAAGAACCAGGGAAAAAGCTGTTTCTGAATTAAGTACATATTTTACTCTGAAATTAGAGAAATTAAAACTTTCAGATAAGGCAAGGAAAAATAACTTAGCTGTATCCTATTCACATTTTGTTTTCATAGCTGTTACAGATTTTATTATCTGTAGGGTTTTTTTCTTTATTGAAGTATAGCTGATATACATTATTATATTGGTTTCAAGTATACAAATAGTGACTCGACAGTTATCTATATTATTAAATGCTCGCCCCAACTAGTGTAGTTAGTATCTGTCAACAAAGAAAGATGTTACAGAACTACCGACTGTATCTACAATCCTCCGCTCTACCGGCTGAGCTGTGGACAGAAGTACCTATTCATTTTCTTTCTGTTGAGAGCTATATTGTGAGTGTTTCTGAGCACATTACAAATAAATACAGAAAATCCACTAACTACATGAAAAGCCACAGCTTGTCCTCGTCTCTCCTGTCCTAGTGGGAGCCAAGCAACGTCATGGTCGCGGCACACAAGCACCAAGACCTTCTTCGCACCACGACTGGTCAGCATTTTATCTGCTGAATTATCCTTTGGATTATTTCCTTCCCTGTCAGTGCCCTGCATGGCTGAGGTCCTTACTCTTTCTTGCTTGCTTATGATTTGCAAAAACCTTCCAACTGGTCTCAAATTCCAGTACTGTCCCTCCTGTATCCATAGCAAAATTACAACACTGACCTCCTGTTTAAAACCCTTCAGTGCCTTCAGAAAAAAAAATCCCCGTTCTTGAGCAAGACCAAGGGGATCTTTACAAAGGGGCCTCCACCTCCCTCTGGCTTTTCTACAAGCCACTTGCCTGCCAGGCAGGCTCCCTCGTGCCTGGAACTACCTTCGCGTTTTGCCTGAGCCAGGGCTTCTTTGGGGACGCCTCCCCTCACCCACCCACCTCTCCACCCCTCCCTCCCCCAATCCCCTGACGTCCCTCCCACCCAACACCGGGTATTTCTCTGTGTACCTGCCCCACTGTCAGCCCTGGAGCACCCTTTTGACTGCATCCCTGGTGCTTAGCAGACTGTACCTAACACCTAACATTGCCTTTGAGAATATTTACTTGATGCATGAACCCCCAGAGCAAAGAAAAGGGTCCCCAATTCATATTATAAGCTCCTGCTCAGAAGAGTCTGTCTCTCAGAGCAGCCTCCAGTCTCTCAAACTGTGTAAACTGTAAGTGCTCATTAATCCCTCTGACCTCCTCATTTTTTCTGGGAGAATCAAAATGCCAAGACAGCTACAAGTGCTACCTGCTAAGAGAGGCACCAACAGCTTGGAGCACGAGATTACTTCTGACTCCAGGCAACAGCATTCAGGGATGGAAGGCCATGTGATGCTAATCTTTAAACCCAGTACCCCCAGAACCACTGCTTTATCAATATATCCAGAAACCCTTCCTACTTCTGATTTGTAGAGACTAATGAGAAATACGAAAGCAATGAGAAATAAATGAAGCCAGGGATTCTGGCACATTTCCACTCACAGAACAGTTTAAACACCTGATAAAATCAGGTCCATGAAGTCCCTGCCCAACATTAAAACCACTTTTCTGAGCCCAAAACATGACCTTGATAATAAGATATGGAATAGGAATTGCATTTTCCTGGGGACCTGACAGGTAGGTGTGCAGGAGGGATGGGGGAAGGCCCACCAATACAAAAAATAAACAGGCAGAAATACAGGACACAGGCAGTGGGGGTGACTACAGCAGGACAAGAAGCAAGGGTGTGGGGGGAGCTGTGGTGGTCTCACACGAGGTGCTCAGGACACCTTGTTTGAGGAGGTCTGTGAGCAGCCACACAGACATCTCAGGAGCTGTGTTTCAGACAGAGGGCACAGCCAGTGCAAAGGCCCTGATGCGGGTGTGTTCTGGTGTCTGAGGAACCAAGCAGGCCTGTGTGTGTCCAGGGTACAGTGGGCATGGGCTGAGCAGGGGCCTTGTCTGCTGCCGTAAAAACTCAGGCTTTTACTTTGAGACTGGAAGCCTCATGAAAACCTAAATGTTTTAGATTTTTTTTGATACTCAAGACACAAATACTTGAGAAAGAGCCCCAGAAAAATTCACACATATTTTAAAGATATATTATTTCTTACAGCTTCACAGTACAGCTTATAAGCTTATCTAAACTTGTTTCTCCAAGTTCACATTTGCCAGAATCTCTTGGCCTAGGTGCCCATCCAACATTTATTTTCTTCTATACCTCCTCGTTGCTACTGGTGTGGGATTTCTGTCGCACACTTGACTCTCCCATCTCTACTCCCATAACCAGGTTTTGGGGACACTGTTAGGAGCACACAGGGTTCCTGGGTTACAAATTTCTGCCTACTCCCTCAGTGACAGTCAGAATAGACAGACAACAATTGTCAGGATAGATACACACAAGAAAGAAAACCTACTGTCTGAAAAGCCAGGCCTTAACTTCAAGGACTTTATTTTTAAAAAGATTAACTGTTAATACATATAATATACAACTTGATAGTGTTAAAATAATCCTTAAATTCTATCTTTTTAAGAAGATTAGCTGTTACTACATGTAATATACAACTTGATAATGTTAAAATAGATCCTTAAATTCTACCTACTAGACAATATTTCCCATGAAGTCTTATAATTACAATGGGAAACAGTTCAATGAAGGTACAGAGTTAAGTATGTAGGGAAATGACCACTTTAATAAAAAGCACTAATGTCTGGTATAAACCTTCTCAAGGTTAGCAATGTTTCTGCCAAGACTGTGGTAGTTAAAGCCTTCATAAACAGACTAGAGAAAATACAGCATTACTGGTTGTCATCAATTAATTATTTTTGAGATACTTTTTTTTTTTTTTACTTCTAGAGGGAAAGAAGTGAATAGTTTAATCCTATTTACATAAAAGCAACACAAAAACCAGGTGTGTGGGTTTGTGAGGGTGCAAAAGAACAGCAAGGAGGGGTTCCCACGAAGACATTAACCAGTTACCCGGAAGTGCCGAGGATGGAGCCAGGGGCTTCTGGGCCAGGGAAGCTCCGAGTTTACTGCAGGGGTTTCTGTATTGTTTGGTTGGTTTTGTTTGTTTACAATAAAGTATGATTTCTTTTTAATTTCAGAAATAAAAGAATAAACTCTAATGATCAATAAGGTTTGGGAACCAATGTCTAATCCAATAAAAGAAAAAGAAAGATACTACAGTCAAATATTAAAAGCTACCTGAATAATTTTAAGACTTCAATTTTTTGATCAGTTTAAAACGGCTCTGAAGGGAAAAAAAAGAACAAGAATGTAAAATTTTCTTCATTAATGAGAGTGAGTGACAAAATAGTCACTATTGCTTAATATGGCTAATTAAATTAAGCATCTAAATTAAGACAAAAATATAATTATAAAAGTGGAACTATTCTTTCTTTACAATTTAGGAGGTTACATATTGCTAGGCCTTCCCAAATTCACACTAGGATATTCTACCTGAAGTGTCTGGCACACATTACATGTATATGTGGAAGTATATGTGAAATACTCATTTACAGCATTGTTTTAGTGTATTTATAATACTGCTAATTAACAACAGAGAAAGCTGACACTGAGAAAAGGTGAACACAGAAAACTAACCAAATCAGTAAATTATATAACATTTAAAAATTCAAAATACCCTGAAGTTGATCGTATTTCTATCTACTAATATCGGGAAATCTTCTCAGACAACCATCTCCCAGAGAGTGTGCCGACCTCCACCGTCTCTTGGAATCCGAAGAATGCTGAGAGACAGCGCAGCTCCCTCGCTCCCTCCTTACCCACCCTCACTGTACATCGTAATCGACGATCATAAAATTTCCCTATTTCCTTAATGTCTCCTACCCAGCACTTCCTGTGTCTGATGATGCCAACCAACTCCTGTGTTCAAGGCCAAGAGCCAAACACCTTCGTGCGCCCTCTTCCCACCCCACACCACGGAAACCAGTACCGGCCCCTGAACAAAAGCAGGTTAATAAACAGGCCAAGGTTGTGTCAGAGTATCAGGTGGAGGGAGAGGACATGGGAAAGAATGACAGAAACGTGCATAACTGGAAATACAGCCAGCAAAAAACGAAAACAAGGAACATAAAAGGAGAAACAAGAAAGAAAGGGTTTTTCAATAAAATGGTATTTTTAAAAAGAAACTTTGGTTTAGTCTGTGGTTCAGTAAGATAAGAAAATGAATGTCTAGGCTAGAATTATGGCTTAGCAAATAAATGCAGTTCACTGTGATTTTAGAAAGGAGTATAAGATTCAAGTTCCCCATTTGCAGGATTAAGTAAACACAGTGAGAGAAAAACACCAGTTTCCATTTGTGGGAGGCAGGGAGAGGCGGCCCCATTTGTCTTGTTCGTTCCCTTGGGAGGGAGGCAGCAAGGGGAGAATGACTGGTGAGTGGGACGCCCCCTTTCAAGCCCGACCATCACAGCTTCCCGGACTCAAGACAAGCAGGGAAGGTCGTTACCAGGCCGTTGGTGTGGTTGCACATGTCCCATAATGGAATCAGCGCCAGGGTTACCCGGGAGCCATCCTCCGTGGGAATTTGGTTTTGTCGGGTCATAACAGAAGAGACGGCCCACCTGTAACGATCAGAGCAGAGGTGACCATAGTGTGAACGCTTAGAAGCTGTCACAGTAATAACTCAACCAGAAACTAAGGCCGGACTTCTCTCCGTCTATCAAAACCCTTGCTTGGTACCAAAGCTATGGCTGCCGTCCTTCACTGTCATTTCACATTATACACCTAGAGCTGAGGGAAGGAGCAGGGAAATGGAAGGGAAAGGGGAGCCCCAGGAAACCCTGGAGTGAGCGATGGCAGGAGGATGTCCAGGAAGAGAGAGGGCCCGGCAGGAGGGCCATAAACAGGGTCTTCACTTTGCCCAGACCCCTTCCCCCTTCCCCCTCTTATACCCAAATGCTGACTCTGCACCTATTTTAAGCTCAGTGAAAAGGAAACAGTATTAACTCCTTTCTGATCAGAAATCCTCTAAGAACTCTACAAAATGTACCATGCTATTTTCCTTACGTTGTGCAGTGAATTAAATCTCTTTGTTAAAAAAAAGTCCCCATATTATACTAAAATAGTCTATTTAAAAAGAAAAAAAATCCTCAAGACCACCCGACAACTAATGTTAGTCTGTAGCATCACTTGGCTACCTCCACTGATTCCCGACCACTACAGGTTAAGGGCGAGTTCTACATGGCTATTAAAATGCTGATATTTATCCCAGCTGTCCACTGTAACTTCTGAAAGGCTTTAAACGGTCACAGCAGGTCACTACTTACTGAGGTATTTCTCACTTCCAAGTTCCCCCCACTCCCACAACATACACACCCGCCATGCACATATCCACCCCAACACACACACACACCAACCTGTAGTCCTCGTAAGTGAAAGAATCCTTCAAGGGCAGTTTGTTGGCATGAGGATGGGTCTGGGAATTAGAAGTTTTGGAAAGCGGAGTGAAAAGACAGAAACGAAGTACAGAAGTCAGTCGGCAGAATTCCATTATTTCGTTGCCTACCAGGTCCTAACGAGAGCCAAATGAAGCAGGAGGCATCCCACCGAGCAACCGAGGGATCACCATGCTATTAAGCTCTCATACATCACTGTCAACTTAATTTGTTGTGCCCAGCAGCCGCCATAAATCTGCTTCTTCATATTTCGATACTAGAACCCACGGGCACCGCACAAAAATAAAATTTAAGGTGGACCGACTTCACAGAGGTAGGCACACCCACGTGATGAGTATCTGACCCAAACAGAGCCCTCCGGAGCCTCTGAGGCTGGATGCCCCTCCAGGCCTACCCTCGGGTCTCTGGCATGATACCCTGCACATGCCTTACGAGCAGATTTCAATCTCTTTTCACTTCGATAAAAGGAATAATTAAAGGCATTCTAATAAATGGGAAGTTCTATCATTCATCTCAGACTTAAATCATTTGGATGGGAATCACCTTGTTATGTGCAAATGAATCCCGTATAGTAAAATGCAGCTCAAGTACTGAAAATCAAGAAAAATAGATTTTTGAAATTATAAATGTCACAAACAAGACAAAGATAAAACAGAGACTGACATATTTAGATGTTACCACCTCTGGGGGGTGGGGACAAAAGAACATTTGGTAAAAATACCCAAAACTTCACAATTATGAGAAAATTTTATGCATTTCATATTCGCTCTTCACAATGCCCCCCCGACCTCAGACCTTTCAGGCACTTACAAACTTTGCTTCAATTAAGAAATTAAAAGCTGTAACCGTATAATTTTAATCTTCAGTTTCAATTACAGTCTGATAGACAGATTGCAGTAAGTGATCAAATGAACAAATGGTTATTTCTGAGACACAAATGGAGTTCTGCTGCACGTCTGTGAACCACTGTTAATGCACGGGCTCCGTGCTGTATGCAGTTTTTACTCTTGACGCATTAGCATCACAAGTGCACAGTAATTCATCATCGCTCACTGTAATGTACTCGCTGGCACCGTACACAGGACAGTAGGGGATGAGGTAAAAGTGGCTCAAACCGTAAATCAATTAGAAAACAAAAGCTTGTGCTCAGTGCGCAATTTTAGGCAAATTATATATTACAAAAGACTGGCAATTGGGTGTTAGCTCCCAGGTGCCTGCTTCTTCCACCTAATTCTTAGCCCAGTGTTAACCCTTTGGAAGAAAAGTCAAAATATAAAATTATAATTTATGTAATTTTAAAACAATGTGATAATATAAAGAAAATTGAAGAAGATAATGTGTATAGTAACATATTGCCCAGGATCATTTTCTAGCAGCTATGGGTAGATAAGGAAATCGTACCTGTGGTGTAACAAAAAAAAAAAACAAAAAAAACCCAATACGTGGTCAACCACAGCGAGAATCCGAGACTGAAGCTTCCTATCCCCTGCTCTCAGCCATGAACTCCACGGCTATGTTCCAAGAGTCCCAAAGATGCTTTCCATTCAATTATGAAACAGTCACGACAGTGTTCAGCAGATAATAACATTCCCTCCACCCAAACCTAATCTGAAAGACCAAAGAAAGACTTCAGAACTTTAAAGAAAAGGAATTCTATTGCTAAAATTTCCTTTCACTTATAACAACATGAAACTTCACATCTCAGCCCCTGGAAATGTTGCACACCCCTTCGCGTTCCGAACTCTAAGAGGTGGGAAAGCACTGCTGTTTTTGTTATTTTAAAATATTTTTAATTCATTTAAACTATGGAATGCACTTCGGTATTTTGAAAGCTGGTAAATCCCAATGCTAAATTCATCAAGTACTAAAATTTTGATCTGCACCCCCCACCAAAAAAAGTTTGACTTACTGAATAGGAGAAAATATGACAATCTTAAAAATTAGAATGCTGAACGTCAACATGACTTCAGGAAGAACCTTCCAACATTAAAGATCTTGAAACAGCTTTGGATTCTACAAACACCATTCAAACAAGGGTGACTTTCTCAAGAACCAAAAAGATGGAAAATTAACCCTCCAAAATGTTTCCCTTCCTACTATTTACGTACATTTCTTACTGAAAATGTTAAGTGCATGCATACAGTCCTGATGAAGCCATAAAGAGAACTCAAGAAAAGAAACGTGCAAATGCTTTCTTCAGATTCATTTTGAAGATTTCTTTGGCTATAGGGTTATGTAATATTTGCAGAATCTGTTAGAATTAATTGTTCTTATCTGCTTAAAAAGATAGGGTGTGCCTACTGTACATAATTCTGGTATAAAAAGCTATTCTGCCACAGACACATGCACTTAACAGTTACACTGAAGCAAAATTTAATTTGACACGATGGAGAAAGGCAACTTCCATGTCAACAGGGCTCCCACTACTGTGACACTACCGCCACCTACCGGTGTCATGGTAGAATAGGTTATAGTCCACCGCTGAATTACTGCCCGGGATAGGCCTTCATAGCAACTTACTGTAAGCCCTTACTGGGTTTACAGGGAATGGCTACTGTTTCAAGCTTTACTCAAACAAAATGCCGTTTCTAGAAAAACCTACACTACCTCTTAGAATCATTATCTAATTGTTTTACAAGGATCTGGAAACAGACAAATACTGAAAATGATTTACATGTGAAAGACATTTAACTTTGAAAAGAAGTATTTTCACATATCATGAACAAGGTATAATGAACAAGAATAAGACAATGTATATTCCAAACATTTTTTTAAATTTAAGCTAGACATAATTTTCTTTTTTAAACACCAAGCCTTTTTTTCCTTGAAGACAAGTTAAGGTTTAAAAGTACATCTTTGCAAAAATTATGATATAAACCTAAAGTTATTTGAAAGTTCCTAAAATGTTCTTAAATCAAAATATTTAAGGTCATACTTTACAGGAACTGAACATTCCTCATTTTGTAGAGCAAAATCCTCTAAGGGTTTTGTTTATCATGATATGATGTCTCCAAGAGAAGACATTCCTAACCTGCACTTTAAAAACAAAAAACAGGAACTTCTGTGGCCAGTTGATCTCAGCTGTGATTTGTTTCCAAGACATAACTGCACACGGGATGCACGCAGCAGTCTTCCAGCAGTTCAGAAGGACTGCAGTGATGGGGTCTCCCGGGCCCGGGGAACCAAGGGGCACAGGTCTGGGCTATGCTGAAGTCCTAACTCCCTCCCCACCATCCACCCCCGTAAACACGCAACACAGCTTTCTGGCAGATTTTTTAAGTGACTGATAATCGTACTGTTGTGAGCATCACAAAAATTTGTAGTTGGAGACAAACAGCTGCCATAGCTCATGATCAGACTTGAAGCCTGAAGACTTGCTTTTAAAAGAGGATTCTCATTTCCTTGTGCTGAGCCAGACGATTCAATGAGGCTCTCTTCCACTCCTTTTCCTACCAAAAGGAGGTACTCCCACCAAAAGAGGCACAGTAATATTGTACCTAGTACAAAATAATCACTGTGTTTGGGAAAGATTAATATCTAAAATCGTTTGTTTGGCTTCAATAAAAGGAAGTAATATTGTTAAATATGTAAGTATGACATTTTGAAGAATTTACCATATGCACGGGCCTGGTAGCTATGCTTAAGGAAATTAAAACCACTACAGTCAGCATATTTGATCCTTATTAAAGTTCCGTCTTGAACTATCACTCACATAAAACAAAAATAAACCAAGAAGAAATTTAAATGAAACCTATGGATTACAAGAGTTTGAAGATGAAAAAATGAACAATATTCTGGCTTTAAAAAATTGATTTAGCATGCAGCTTCTCTTTATAGTCCCTTGATAAAAATGAAATCTCCCTAACAAACACTTAATAAAACCTGTCAATATCTCTGGAAAGAAAAATGACACAAATGCATTAAGTATTAAATACCCTTGGAAAAAGTCACATATTCCATGAATTTTTGATGTACTATCTTGACATTAATGTAAAACCTTGATATTTATAATTGACAGATATTTAATAAAGTATAAAAGAAGATGGCTGCTCTGCAGCATGCAAATTTCTTAGGATGATCAGAAATGAGAGATACAGACACATACTTAAACTAAATAAACAGTTAATATGTGTTATACGAATCAGCTGCAGTCTTATTTTAAGCTTGTACAACAAACCTTTGTGGAGAACCAAATAAGCAGAATTCATTATTATGTGAATTTCTAATTCAGAAACATCTAGTATATGAAACAGCTTTGAAACCTTAAGAGAGTCTGCAGAGGAACAAAATGCATTTAACTTAAAGGGTATTTTTGTTAGTTTTTAACATCTAACAAAAAGCATTTTTTTAATGAAATAAACACTTCCATATATAGATATATGTGGAGAGGTTATTTCCTAAAACAATTCTCAACAAACATATCTAACCTTATAAAAAGATTCAAAACCCTCTAAGGCCAAAAACAAAAAAGGATTAGAACACATATATGGCCTCTAAGACATAAACATTTCTCAAAATCAGATCTTTACTTTTCTAATAAATGCGCACTCACCTCTACCTAGACTGATTTTTATAAGGAAACCAAGTTGAAAACATTTAATAATCACCTTCAATGAGGCATTCAAATATACTACATCTTGGCTCAGTTCATAAAAATGATTCCTCAATACTGTATTTTAAAGAATTTATAGCCTGCTACAGTATATAATCAATTCTTAATTTCAAAAAAATATATAGTAATTCAGTGACTTATTAATGGCTCTACCGTATCAGAAATAACAAAATATAATGTAGAAGTTGTACTTAGTTTGTCCCGATAAAAAAACCCATAAGAGCATGCAATTACGATTTTCTAACTAAAATGTCCAGCACTGTACATGGCTTTACTTCTTAAGCATATATTAAAAGGGACAGTTAGGTTAACTAACTGTGGATAGATACACCTAATTCTAGTGATGGCTCCATTTATTTTACTTCCACAAGGATAAAGCAGTCACAGAACCTCAGATTTGATCTTTTT